GGTAGAAATGAAGGATGTGGATGCAAAGTCATCTTGTCCTTAGAGAACACAGTGTATGGTGACTCCAAAGAGAGGGCCCTCAACTTGGACACCCTTCTAGCCAAGGTGATAGCCACGAGAAAGGCCACTTTCCATGAGAGGTGAAAGAGGGAGCACATGGCTATTGGCTCAAACGAAGGGCACGTGAGACCCCTGAGAACTAAATTCAGGTCCCACTGGGAAACAGACTGCCTAACCTGGGCGTAGAGTCTACTCAAGCCCTTCAGAAAGTGTTTGATCATTGCATGAGTGAACACAGAGTCCCCCCTTTTCCTGGATGAAAGGCCGCAATGGCCATCAGGTATACTCTCATCGAGGAGGTAGACAGCCCCTGCTGCCTAATGCTGAGGAGGTAGTCCAAGATCAGAGGTATGGGGACCTGAAAGCAGCCCCCCTCTGAGCGACCCAAGTCAAGAACCTCCTCCATTTGACCTGATAGATTGCCCTGGTAGAGGGCTTCCTACTTCCTACATCAGTACCCATCTGACTGGATCTGAACAGAAAAGATCTCCACCCCTCAATCATGGATCTTCCAAGCCATGAGGTGGAGGGACTATAGGTTCGGGTGGCACAGGTGACCCTGATCCAGCTCCTGAGTCAAGAGGGCTGGCACAAGTGGGAGGGCAATGGGGTCCTCCACTGACAGCACCACCAGGGTGATGTGACAGTGCTAGCATGGCCAGGTCAGTGCCCTCAGATTAATTGATGCCCCGTACCTTCACACCCTTAAGGAGAACCTAGTGCATGAGGGGAAAAAGGGGGAAGGCATATAGGAGATATGGTGGCCACCACATTACCATGGCATCCCCCACCAACCCAGGGCACTGGCCTCAATATGAGCAGAACTGGGCACATTTCCTGTTGGCCCATGAGGTGAACAGATTGAGGGGAAAAGATGGTGCACTACCTCCTTCTTGAGAGACCATTTGTGAGCCGAGAATACCCTGCTGAGGTGGTCTGCCAAGGTGTTGTGGGACCCTAGGAGGTAGGTGGCCTGTAGATGAATCCCCTGCCCAATACAGAGGTCTCAGAGGGCTAGGGCTTCCTGCCAGAGGGAAAAGGATCAAGCACCACCCTGTTAATTGATATAAAACATCACTGTTGTGTTGTCCATCAAGACAGAGACACAGTTGCCCCTCAGTTGAGGCAGCAACATCTGGCACGCCAAACGTACTGCCCTCAGTTCCCTGACATTGATGTGCAACAATATCTCTGCCCAAGACAATATACCTTGTGTCCATAGGTCAGCCATGTGGGCTCCCCACCCAGTATCAGAGCTATCTGTCACCAACTGCATCGAAAGGGGCTGCTGGGCAAAGGGAACTCTGCAGCACACCTTGCTCTCCCGCAGCCACCAGTCCATCCAGTGGGATGGTCATCACCATATCGATGTGGTCATGAACTGGCTGTATAGACCCTTGCCAACCAGGCCTGCACACCACCATGTGACCCAATAACCTTATACAATGCCTTGCCATGGTCAGAGGGGTAGGCTGGAGCTGCAGAATAATGTCCCTCATAGCCACAAACCTGGAGCTTGGTAGCGATGCTCACCCCATTGTGGTGTCCAACTTTACCCCCCAAAACTCTATTATTTGCATATGGACAAGGATTGATTTCACCTCGTTCAACATGAGCCCCAACCAGGAGAAGGTTTCCCAGGCCAAAACTATGTGAGATAACACTTGACCCCTGGAGCGGCCTCTGATAAGCCAGTCGCCAGGTAGGGGAAAACATGAAGCCCTCTCTTTCTTAGCGAGGTGGCCACCACTGCCGTAAATTTGGTGAATACTGTGGGGGCAATGGAAACAGCAGGACCACAAACTGGTGGTAGTCCCTGCCCACCAAGAAATGTAGGAACTTCCTGTGGTGTGGGGCAATTGAAATGTGGAAGTATGCATCCTTCAAATCAAGGGCAGCATACCAGTCCCCTAGATCAAGTGAGGGAATGATGGAGGCAAGTGTCACCATCCTGAACCTTGACTTTCTTATGAAGGTGTTGAGCCCTCTGAGACTTTGGGCTGAGGAAATATTGGGAATAAAATCCCAACCCCTGAAATGCGAGGGGAACCTCTGTTGTACCAAATAAAAGCAAGCAGGATCTTATGAGGGGGATAAGGCAAAAAGCCACATTTATTCTAAAGATAATAATAAAAAAATAAAGAAAAGATAGAAGCAAACAACGTTGTTTAACTACTTATTCCTAACACTACTTAACCCTTATACACTTTATATATATATATATAACCATTCATTCATACATCCATTCATTCAGGTTCTGTGTATTGTTATAGTTACCTAGTTACCAGCCTGGAAGTTGCTTGTGACAGAATACTGGCCAGGTACTCTGTACACAAGTGATGGTAGTGGGGAGCGAAGTCCTGATCAGATGCGCATCTGAAGCTCCTGGTAGGCTGGCAGCAGAACCTTGGACTCTGATTCCATAGTTTTTTAGTCCAGTTCTTATAGGAATTTCTTCCTATGCCAGTCTATGGAAATTGCTGCATCATGCTGATGTCTCCAGGGTGGCTGCCAGGTGCTCATCAGTGATCTCATCGGGTGGACCTCCAGTTTCTCCACTTGACACCTTTTGGTTGCACTGGCACCTGACGCCTTCTTCAGCCCTTTGTTGCTGTATTCTCAGGCTGGCACCTCTCAGAACCATTCACTCATCATCCAAGCACTCTCTCATACATTCATACAGTATTTTGTATAATAATAAAAGTTGTAGTTACAGAAAGTTTCTGGGTGGTATTGCTTAAAACATTCTCTGAGTGCTGAATAAAGTTACAATGTTTTAAAGAGAACAGGCCTCAATTAAGTAACAATGGCCTTAGTCAATTACAGGGCTTGGCTCCCATAGCAGAGTTAGTGGCTTGACAATGCATTGTTACAATGTATCTCTGCAATGTCAATTTCAAGCAGCCCCTTGCACAAGCTTGAGCATGCCCTGGAGCACAGAGGGGGGGCTGTTTCTGGCTACATAGGATTATATTCTTAACAGTTCTAAGTTACATGACCTAATACATTATATTCTAAAGGGGCAATAATAATAATAAATCTAAACATTTAACAATCTTAACAAATAATAAATAATAATAATAAGAAGAAGAAGAAGAAGAAGAAGAAGAAGAAGAAGAATTAATAATAAATCTAAACACTTTAAGTTGTGGGGAACAAATTATGGGGAGTCACTTCCATTTGGAGGAATCATTTTTAATACATTAATATGTTATCCCTACACCTCTTCCACCAGCCCAGATGACAGGAGCGAAGAGACCTCTTGATGAAGAAGGTGCTTGTGAGAGGGGTCCCTGAAAAGGAACAGGGAAGGGGTGTGGGATGGTGGGGGGAGATGAAGGGGATACAGTATCCCCTTGCCTCCGTTTCGAGGACCCACTGGTCCAAGGTGATAGAGCACCAAGAACGATGGAAAGGGGACAGTCTGTTTGAGAAATGATGATCTAGGACTGTAGATGGCAATTAGCCCTCAGGCAGACCTTCAAAATCCTGACCTCAGGCCCTGAGTTTTGTTAGGGGGCCCCTGAGCCTGATCTGAAGCAAACGGAAGCTCCTCCTGGTACCTCTGCCCTTATTACCCCTGTTTCTTCATCTAATAGCATCCTGTCTGGGCCCTGTTGGTACAGCCTCTGCGACCTGCAGTTCATTGGATGGCACTGTGGAGCAGGAGTGTAATTACCTAAGGACTTCAAGGACATCCTTGAGTCCTTCAGACTGTGCAGTTTACTATCAGTCTGCTCTGAGAAGAGCCCTGACCCTTCAAAGGGCAGCTACTGCCGTGTAGTCTGGACCTCAGGCGGGATGCCCGAGACCTGGATCCACGAGTTCCTCAGCATGACTATGCCCGTGGCCATTGAGTGTGTGGCTGAGTCCGCAACATCCAGCACAGCCTGAAGGACAGCGTAGGACACCATCTTTCCCTCCTCTGTCAAGGCCCCAACTCTTGTTGTAATTCCCTGGGGAGTTGAGTCTTGAACTTATTACTGCCACCCAGGAATTATAGGCATATCTGCTGAGCACTGCTTGCTGGTTTGCAATCCTCAGCTGCAGCCCAGCTGTGGCATAAGCCTTCCTTCCCAAAAGGTTGAGCTTTTAAGTTTTTTTACTCTTGAGAGTGGGCCAGGCTGCCCCTGCCTCTCCCTTTGGCATGTGGCCTGTACCACTACGGAGCCTGGGGGTGGGTGGGCAAACAAATGTTTATGTCCCGACTGCAGCACAAAATATCTCCTCTCAACCCTCTTCTGCATCAGAGGAATAGACACCGGTGTCTGCCAGAGAGTTCTTGTAATCTTGGCCACCTCTGATTAAGAGGGAGAGCAATTCTGGCACGGGCATCCGCTGTCAAGATGTCCACCATATGGTCAGATTCCTCCTTTACCTCCTCGGCCTGCACCCTCGGGTATTGGGCCAACCTTCTGAGCAGGACCTGATGGGTGCACATATCCATGGTGGGCATGCCCAGCGACAAGTCTGCCAGAGCCTTGTCGGGTGAAGAGGACGAGGAGTTCCTCGGCTATGTTGTCCCCTCAGGGGACATCCCCAGCTGCGCCTGGGGAGGATGCAGCTGAGATGAGCTTACTGGGGCTCAGTGCTGAACAGGCTGATCTTGGTCCCCTGTTGATCCTGAAGGACTGGTGCTAGACTCTGATGCCGGAGCCCGGGTGAGCAGGGTGGCCAAAGGTGTAGCCCTATGCCTGGAGAACACTAGGACCAAGACCAACACCGCTCAGGGGACATCCCCAGCTGCGCCTGGGGAGGATGCAGCTGAGATGAGCTTACTGGGGCTCAGTGCTGAACAGGCTGATCTTGGTCCCCTGTTGATCCTGAAGGACTGGTGCTAGACTCTGATGCCGGAGCCCGGGTGAGCAGGGTGGCCAAAGGTGTAGCCCTATGCCTGGAGAACACTAGGACCAAGACCAACACCGTATGCCCAAGTGATCCCAGGAGGCCACTGAGCTGGTGGCTGCCACTGTGGGGGCCACGTCCGAGATGGCAGTGGGCTGGCCTGCCCCAAGTGGCACCGCGAGCAGGAACAGTGCCGGGAACCAGAACAATGCCGGGACCAGGATCAGTATGAGGACCAGGACCAGCCCGACCTAGAGAAGCGATGCGATGATGTCCTCGATGTCATTGACTCTGCATCTGATTTGGAGGAGTACTCATATGCAGACCATGTGTAGCCCTGAAGTCCAGGACCTGTCAGTGGAGGAGGTCCCACAGTCATCGACCCTGGGCACATTTGCTGCAGCTCGTGAGTTGATTGAGCTCACATCTTCCCCCCAGTGCCGGCTGTGGTGCTCCCGTGGCCGTCAGTTTCCAATGCTGCAGAGTGCCTCTGCGTCGTTCCCATCCTGCACGCCAGTCCCGGAGTGCTCCTCACAGATGGCGCCAGTTCTGGTGCCGCAGGCAGAAGTGCCGACTCCATCAGTAGCAGTTTCAGTCTGGAGTTGCACTCACATTTGGTCCTTGGTTTAAAGCACTTGTGGATTCTACAGGAATCAGTTAAGTGACTTTAGGCACTTTAAGCACTCTTTATGCGGGTCTTCACAAGGCATAGGCTTCAGGCACCGTGCAAAGGGTTTGAAGCCTTGGGGCTGCAGCACTCCCCCCTTTTGGGAGTGCTGTACCTAAACAAACTACACTAATCTCAACAGGTACTTAAACAACACTCAACTGATTACAAGACTATTTACAGAAAATATGGAGAGAAAGGGGTGCTAAGGGTATACTTGTAAATAGCAAGCCGAGCATTCCAGTAACCCTCACAGGCGGGCGGTAAGAAGGAACTGAGGGGGTGAAGGGCCAGCAGGGGTATATATGTGCTGATATGCCGGCGCCACTCAAGAAGGCTCCGCAGCTGGCCCAGCAAGTTCTGCTATGGGTTAAAAGCTTCTGGAACTTATGCATGTGGTGCACACACACCCACGTGGAATGGACATAAGCAAGCACTCAAAGAAGAACTTCTCTATTAAATTTTTGACCAGAGCAGCATGGAATTATGGAGATAAAACAGCAGGGAAATACATTAAGACAAAAACAATAGAGCTGATACGTGGAACAGGATGCTGTTTTGTAATAATAAAGTTAAGGAATTGCAGTTTTATGCTATCCCATTACATTACATTTCATCACTGTGAAAGATAAACAATTAATTGAATGCAAAACTTAATTGTCCAGTTCCTGAAATTTTGCACTTACTTATAATTATGACTGCACTGGAGGGTGAAGCAGGAATAAAATGTGACTTGAGGCTGCTGTAATGTGTATCAGACCTTTCCTCTTGTAGGTGGCACCAACGTACTAAATCTACTGTTATAAATCAGCTTTCAGAAAAGCAAAGAGTGCAAAAAGGCATAGCTACCATAGATAGTACCCAGTGTGAAGGTCTCCCACTGATATAGTGCTGCCTATACCGGCACTTATGTTGCTGTAACTTATGTCATGTGGGGACCTCATTTGTTCATAACCCTGACTGACAAATTATACTGACATAAACTGTTGTATAGACATAGCCTTAATTGCCTCTTACTGCCACTAGATGATAGTATGGTATCACAGACACCATTAAACAGCAGACCAGTGACAGTTGAATGTTTGACAGCATTTAATATTTTTATACTTACAAGAACAGACAGGCACCAATGCTAGGTATCTAGCCTTGGAGTTACCAGTGTTGAATTATGCCCCCAGTAGTATGCAGTCAGTAACATATCCCTACTAGTGTGCAGTGTTGTTGTCACTATGCCAGCCCCTGGATATTAGAGACAAGAGGGGTGAGGTAATATCTTTTACTGAACTAGCCTCTGTTGGTGAGAGGATACTCCACCAGAAAAGTGGATCATGTCAACAAACAACCTCCCCCAAATACTCCAAGAGAAACCCAGATCTGAAGACGAGCTCTGTGTAAGCTCAAAAACTTGTCTCTCTCACCAGCAGAAGTTGGTCCAACAAAATATTACCTCATTCCCCTTGTCTGGCTCTCCAATAGCCCTACTATATCAAAAGCATGAAGAGCACTGGTACTTGTTCACAGCCAACAGTAAGGAATTATGGGTCCACTGCAATTAAAAAATACCTCATGGCACTGAGTCTCGGAGCCCAGGCCAGCTGATTCAGCCTCACGGGGCTTAAGCTACTGATCTAAAAAGTATAGTGTAGACATTTGGGCTGAAGCTGGAACCCAGACTCTGAGACCTTCTCCCTCATAGCATCTCAGAGCCTGAGCTCCAGTCCAAGCCCATACAACTGCAATGTTATAGTCCAGCAGCTTAAGTTCCACTGTCCCGGCCAGCTGCAGCAATGCTACATTCCTCTTATCCCAATATAGACATCCTCCAGGTGGCCAGAGGCAAGCTGTTTAGTTGGGCTCCTCCCTTTCTCGTCACACATCCCTACCCATTCATATTGTCTTTTCTTTCACAAAAGCACACGCTCAATTGCACTCACCTCTCCCATACACTCCTCTTCCTTCTGCTTTCTCACGCATTCTCTCCTCTACCCTCTCTCTGTCCCTCCTCAGGCTCATTCTGTCACCCATCTCAGTAGGAAAGAGAAGCTCTGTTTTATATTCATAACTTTCATGTCTGGCACTGGTGCATCCCGGTCCTACCTATTCTCTGCCTGTGGCACATAATAGCTTAGGCTCCCAAAACCTGTAATACTAGGGTCTCATTCCCATGATTGTGCTTTATGTGCATGTAGACGGCTGGTGTTTGTGGTCTGTGATGAACAGGAGAGCAGATTAGATGATCTGGCAGTTTCTTCTGTCCTTAAACTCTATGAGCCAATAACTCTATTTTTATGGGTGGGGTTGGTGTTCCCAGGCTTCCTGCTGGAAGGAAGCAGACTGTTGTGTTCTGGTTGAACACACGCAGGCAGGATGGCCAGCAGACTTGCTGAGGCTGTGAGCAAGGCAGGGGGTGGAGGGTGACACTGTGCTCCGGAAGGTGTAAGGCCTCAGAAGGAAGGGGTAGGGTTTGGGCTAGCCTCCCTTAGGCAGCCCACTGCACCACCCAGAGCACATCAGGCCTCCTCTAGGCAGCATTCATTGCAGGTGGGAGCATGCTGTGCAGGGTTCTAGTGGCAATTTAAAGGGCCAAGAGCTCTAGCAACTGCCACTCATGCAATAGCAGTAGCCAAGAATCCCAGACCCCTTTCCCCCTTTTGGTGGGACTGTGCACAGTCATTCATCTACAGACCTGTCCACACTGGCCTACTAAAAAGCCTGAGAACTCATCTAGGAACCATGTACAGGAGGTATACATACTCTCAACAGCACAGCTTCTCATCTTTTTCTCCCTCTGTGTCCCTCCCTTCCCTAAAAGTAATGTCCTCCCTATGCTAAATTGAAATGCTCCCTTGGAGGACGAGGAGGAGGAGGAGGAGGAGAGAATTCATATCTGGTTCCTCATCTATGCAAAACATCTTAACTATGCAAGTCTCCTCCTTTCCACAAACCCCTCTTCCACACCTCACCAAATATTCATTCCACATACTGGCAGGTGAAAGTTCTCCTTTCACCTGCCAGAATTAATCAGTTCCCCACTCACGTGGTCAGTTCTCTCCCCTTCCCCCCCATAAAACCAGCTCCCAACAAAACAATTTCCCCCTTCCAAATAGTCCACACCCATCAAAACACAAAATCAGTTTCCTCTTCCAGGAACTTTGAATAGTCAGGCACCTCTCCATCACCATAGCAGGCTCAGGTCCATCCTCAGAGCATTGTTTCACAGGGTGATGCTGATGGACAGGTCCGGTACTGCAAGGTTCTTCAGTGAGGAGAAGGAACAGGGAGGCAGAGACATCCTTGTAGAGTTAGAAGGGAGATGGTTCTTTATCTGTGCCTGGTTACACCTCCTGTGTGCCTTGCATAAAGCAAGTAAGAGGCACAGAAGATTCATTACAAACCCCAAAGTGTCAGAGGATCACTAAACACCAGAGGACAGACAGAGACACAGAGAAAGCTGGACTGTCCAGTTAAAAGATGGAGACTAAGTCATACATACACACACATTTCCATGGGATTGGGAGCTAGAAAGCTGAGGGTTAGCTGATAGACTGAAATGAAAAGAATGAAAGTCAGAACCCCATAAAATAAGTCTCCCGGACCTGAGTCAGGATTTAGATCAAGCCAGACTTCTATAAGGACCATCAATTCAGTATTAAATTCATTGTTATTTGAACTAATGTAAAGAGAGTCAATCAATTTCCTTATAGAATTCTAATAAATGTTCTAATAAACGTTACTTATCTTTGGTCTTCCCCTTCTTTTTGATCTAAACAAGTTTATAATTCATAGACACAATATAGCCACACATTGTGAGTGAGCTATTCACTTATCAGGTCTCTCTCTAACATATTTTCAAACGTGCCAGAGATATATTATGAAACACCCTTGCTATGTAAAATACACTGAATACATTATTTTGATTTCAGTTATTGCTCTTTCATACTATACCCTGTATGGTTTTCATGTTAGAATAATATTCTGCCAGTTTTAGGAGTCCCTGAGTAAACCTTTATGTGTATGTAACAGGTTCAACTTTACAACAGTAAGCATGCCAGGATAAAATTGTTTATTCCCTCAAGAATAAAATTAACATGTAGTTTCAAATGTCACGTTTTGTAGAACTGAGCAAAACTCCTATGGTCATTGATCTTCCATTAACTGTTGCAGTGTACAGTAGTTATTTATTTGGTTCAATCCTGCCTAATATATGGAGGCTATCCAGAAGCACATGCCAAGCCTATTTTGAGTTTCTTCCAGATATCTCTTCCAGACCGATTATACATGTTTTGTGATTGTTTCATATTTAGGGTGAATTAAGTGATTTAAAATATTTGCGCACATTTCTGAAAAACATAAGAGAGGTTCACACAGTAGAGTAGGTGACTAAAAGATGAGAGGAATTGCAATGGGCCAGTACAAATATCCAACATTCATCACTCTTTTTGTTCTCTTACATCCAAAAATATACCACCTTTTTCAGTCACATGCAGTGGTGAATTGGATTCACAAGTACGTTGGGCAAAATGACTTACTGCATTAATTTGGAACCACGTCCCTACAAATGTAATGATTTTTTTTAATAAATACGATTTTGTTTAAGAGAAGATGCAACAAAATAAAGGGCCAATTCCTGAAGTACTTACTCAGAGATAAATTCTCTGCTGGGGCAAGTGAATGGAATCCATTAAAGTCGATGGAGCTGGGCTCATTTATGCCTGCGTAATGCTGACAGATAGAGAACTTGACCCTTTTTAGAAAGTCCTTGCCAAGGCAAAGCATCAGCTGATATCAGGTGAAAGACTGAGTGACAGCTAAGTGTAGACTTGAGCATTTGTCCCACTGAAATAAACTGCTGGACAACGACGATATTGTGACACGCATGATGTATTCATCAAACAACATGGCCTTCATTTTCTGAAGAAACACAAAGTTGGCTCATCTCCTTTCGGTACTGAAATATGAGCCCTTTAGACTCCCCAAGAAAGTATGAATGAGCTTGTTCACTAAAGTGAGTTTCTGTGTTATCTGCCAACAATTTAATAAAAGATATTACAAAAATAATAGAATTGATGGCTTGGTTTGCTCATGTATGTGGCACAGAAACAGGTACAAATCCTGCTCATTCGGAACTCTAGAGTAATAGTTGTACTAAGTATCTGGAATATACAAAAACTTTTCCCAATGGCTTGAAATAGCCAGAAATATTACCTTTGTACCAGTATGAGCAACTAACATTAACAACTACAAATTTAAAATGTTAAGATAAAACAATATAAAGAATCTATGTCTTCCAAAATAACTTTATAACAACAAAGAGCATAATTCTGCCCTCCGGTGCTGTCATGCAATCTCATTCATTAATTGCAGTAAGGGTAGAATATAGACCAGATTTGCATTTTTATCTAAATACATATTTTCTTAGGGCAAGGCAAACTACGTCTTTTTTAACTATGTTCTTCCCTTCTGAAGGGTAAATATTGATATTTGAAATACCTAATTATATTTACAGCTGTACAACACTGATGTCATATACTTGTAAAATATAACTAGTACTTTATAAACAATGGGTAAGTTACACAATCTCCTTCAAATGGGAGGGGGGAGGAACAGACATTTTCACACATTTTCTTTGTCAAATTCACAAACAAAATACATTGTAATGTGACAGGCAACATCATTCCATCCACCGGAAGCCACCATTTCCACACAGTCTTCCTCCTCATACGCATTATTGGGTTCGCCGCTGCGCCATTTGTTGAAGGTCTGCATGGGTGATCGATCAGAATACACAAAATTACCCTCTTTTTCTAGGTCATTGATCCCAATGAAAACTCTGGTGAGCCCTGCTTGACTGATGTAAGACGCAATCAGACTGTTGGTGTTCTCATCCTTAGGCATGCTCAGTGTTCCTCCTCTTCCATGGCAGTAGAGCTGGGCATCCATATATCTCTTCTCTTCTTTCACCAGTAGATATATCTTATTATCTGTCTCACGCACACCAGCAACAGCTGCGGGGGAGGGCAGTGCTGAAAAGTGAGCACTCGCATTTCTATAAACCAACTTAATGCACACCACAAAAATAGATACACAAATCCAATATGAAATGGCAACACACTTTAAAAGCAGCTTCATCGTTTGAAAAAATAGGGTATTTGGAAAGGGGGAAACATACAAAATAAACATACCATTTTTTATGAATTTTAATTCAGTCGTCAACTGGGCCACTTGGATATCCATTTCACCAATAGCCTTCCTGAGCTGGCTACATTCACAGGGGATGCCTGCAGAGATCAGGGGGGTGCTTACTGTTAAATTTTACACACAAACAAATTAAAATGTCTCATGAAACATATTCATGTGAATTTATTGCTCACAAAAGGGACTAGCCTGATGACCTGAGAATAAAGTTCTCTGTCCAAATAATAGGCAGGAACTGTGCAAACTTTCCCACACTGACCCACCAACATCTTGCACTCTGACCTATGGATCTACTAAGACGAGTTTGGTTTAATATAAGTACCACTTCACTCCTTGGACCTGAGGAGATCAGAGATGATGGCGCCAGTTAGTGCCAAATATGTGATAGACACTGGCCCACTAAGAACAAAATAGGATGTTTTTCAATGTCCAAGTTCTCAGGAAGGCATATATAAGGCAAAATTCCCCTTTTCCATCTTCACGGAAGATCTCTTTTCCACACAGGGAATCTGTATGCATATTTTGCATTTGCTCTGAGTCAGGGACCTACACAGCAGTTCAGAGACAGGTGTTGCTCCTATTATTACATAATGCTTATAATTAGCCATAAAACAGTTGTGGCCATTTCCAAAGTGTATGTTTGTTATAGTTCCTCCAATAACAGACTTAAGAATCAAGAATTCTGCCCATTGTCCCAAATTTACATTGGTTTAAAAAAAAGGCACAATTTTAATGAGACAATTAAAAAGGCATCTTCTGTGAGCCCAATTTTGAAAACTAGGCTCCAGGTAAGGTACCCAGTTCTGCATATGGATATTCAAGCCTGTATTTAGTCATTAATATCCCATTTAGGTGCTTACTTGTCTTATCCCACCCCCACATATAATCTCTCATTCAGTATTGACAAGACAGCCTCTACCTCAGATCATCCTATAATATCAGCAACATTCACCATTTGTTTAATTTTCAAACAAGCACTTTTGTGCTTCTCTAATTCACCTCACATGAGAGCTGCTTCTAAACTACCTTATAACTCCCCTTTGATACCATGCCTACAAAAAATACAAGGTTTTTCCTGTTACAGACTCACTCAGCTATCCCTCTGACGCTTATCTACTCATTGTCTTTTTTACTTCCTTCCTTCCATTTTTTTTCCTTCTCCCGTATCTACTCATTGTCTTTTTTACTTCCTCCCTTCCATTTTTTTTCCTTCTCCCCCCTTCCCTCCTTTATTCTTGGATCTGGACTTCCAACACTTCGGTCATCTGAAGAAGTGGATTGTACCCACGAAAGCTCATGATACCATCTACATATTTTGTTAGTCTTTAAAATGCTACCAGACTATTTATTGTTTTTTAAGTTTTTCCTGTTACAGACTAACTCAGCTACCCCCTGAAGCTTTTTAACAAGGGTGTTTCTAGACTACAGGGTTTTGTTGACAAAAGTGGACTTTTGTCGACAAAACTATACCTGTGTCTACACTGCCACTGAGTTCTGTCGACATAACATCCACAGAACTCAGCAGTTTTGTCGACAGCTGTAAACCTCATTCTACGAGGAATAACGCCTTTTATCAACAGAGTTCTGTCAACAGAAGGCGTTATTGCAGCTACACTCATGTCAACAAAGTGGCTTGCTTTGTCGGCAAAACTGGATGTAGGCTAGACGCTCTTTGCCGACAGAAGCTTTGTTATTCATACAGTTTAGGTTGTTCATACAGGTTGGATCTCCCTGGTCTGGCACCCTTAGGACCTGACCAGTGCCAAATGAGGGGATTTGCCAGACCAAGGGAGGTCTCCTGTTACTGTCATCGTACCACCTGCCCCTCCTATTGCCAGCTGCTTATGGACTGTGCCTGGCCCCGCTGCCCTTAGGCTTAGGCTTCAGCCCTGGACCTGCTACCGCTGAGCTCTGGCACCCACCAATTTGTTGCTAGCCCAGCCAGGACTCCCCAGACCTGGAGCTCCCCACTGCATGGATAAGGTGGAAGCTCCTCACTGCCCTGCCAGACCTGCTGCTGCTGGGTCAGAACCAGAGCTCCCCACTTTTAGAGCCAGATTCTGCCACCTTTGTGCACCTGTACTGGTATTTCTGACTGTCATTGAGAGTTGGTCACCTCATCTTTGAAAAATCTCCCTCTTGAAGGCTTTGAGCCAGATTCTGCAGGCAGAGTAGTGCCTTCCTCCATGAGGAGTGCTACTGAAATCAGTGGGACTGCTTGCAAAGTCATGTACTGCTCCACGGGAGTAACTGGTGGAATCTGGCTCTAAAATGGCAGACACAACAGAGTTTAAAAGCCAGATTGTAAACCCGAGCACATGGATAGTAATTTGAGTAGTGTAGATAGTACTAAATTACCAATCCCCAATAGGAGCAAGGAGAAAGCAGGGAAGGAAAAGTGATTCAGTAGTGTGTCTCCTGCAGCTACTCCTAAGCTTGTGCAGCTTAAATATTAAGACCCTAACTCTGCAAAGCTTTTAAACACCTGTCTAAATCCAACCCATTTCAGCAATCCTCTTAAGACCACTTGGAACCTATACTGCTAGGTCTACACTACACCTTTTCCCGATTTTTTTTTTCCAGAAGAGGCTTTTCTGAAATTTGGCCCATCTAAACTGGGCCAAATTTCAGAAAATCTCCCTCTTTTGGAAGATCCCTTCTTCCTCATAGAACAAGGAAGACAGGGCTTCCAAAAGAGCGTGTTTGCTCTTACACACACACACACACACACACACACAAAAGCAGAAGAGCAAACACGTTCCCTAGATACCTCTGGTATCCCAGAAAAAACCTGCAGTCTAGATGTACCCTGCATGTGCTAAAGTGCTTTGAGGAATCAGGACCCTGTCTACTTACTGCTGCATGCCTGGACTCTGATCCAAGTGGGCCAGCTAGGAGTGAAAGAGGGTGGTTCCTTCTGCTCTTGCATGAGCACAGTCTATCATAACCACAATCACAGTCTTGCATGACCACAGTGTATCCCTAAGACCGCATATACAAAACACTGCATAGCCTTCCCATAAGAGCAGATGTTTTAGTAAACATTGATTGTTCAATACTCACTACCTCTAAAAACCACATCTGTTCCATGTGTACCAGTTCATTGTTGCTAACAAACGTAATTCAAACAAACATTTCCATTTTTATATTTATATTATGTAAGATAAAAACTACTCTTACTGTTAAAGATATTAGAATACAAAGGTAGGGCTTCATTTTTGTCCCAAAAACACCACTAGTCTATTATTTTCCATCATCTGAGTCTAAGGTCAGCTATACTCTACACACTTGCTTGAGTTGCTCAGAAGTGTACAACATCCATGAGCAATACAGTTATATCGACCTAACCCCTAGTGTACACAATACTATGTCAAGGGAAGGGCTTCTCCTGTCAACAAAGCTGCTGCCTGTCAGAGAGACATTAAATGTACTAATAAGAAAAGTTCTTCCATCAACATAGTGATATCTTCACTGAAGTGATGCAGTAGCATGGCTGTACTGGTAGAGATGTGCCGCTAAAGCATTTTAAGTATAGACCTGTCCTAAGCTTATCGTGTACACAATACTATGTCAAGGGAAGGGCTTCTCCTGTCAACAAAGCTGCTGCCTGTCAGAGAGACATTAAATGTACTAATAAGAAAAGTTCTTCCATCAACATAGTGATATCTTCACTGAAGTGATGCAGTAGCATGGCTGTACTGGTAGAGATGTGCCGCTAAAGCATTTTAAGTATAGACCTGTCCTAAGCTTATC